GGTATTAGTTTTCTTATAGTTTAAAAAACATTTTCCAATGCGTCCTCCTGCTTTTGGTGTTTCTGAGTTAACTAACCAGCAGCCAAGGGTGTAGGAATGAGTTTACTATTGAGGGGGGACACACAATTTAGGAAATCTGACAGATTTGTACATAGTCTGAGCAGAAATATGTCATAAATCAACTACACTGCACCCAACAAAATATCTCGAGTCTAAAAGGATTGCACAGTATAACAAATATATTGTCATCACAATGACAGAGTGTGCAATATTCATACCGCAAAGGACTTCTGGTTGCACAATAATTGTTGACTAATGTACTTGAAGAGGTTTGAAGTTGTATTTTTCAAGCTAATGCAATATTTAGCCAGTAGGACAGAGTTTCATGGCAGCAAAAGCTCACACCTGACCAAAAATACTAAAAGTCACATAAAACAGGAAGTACAGATTTGAAAGAGAGGAAAGAACTTTTTATACCTTCAAATGTCTCGCTACTTATTGTACATAAGATCTAATATAATATCATGCATATTGATAAACTATGATCAGGTGTTGCCCTTGTGTTATTCACCGGTGATACTCTGGGGGAAAAAAAAGACAACAAATAAGTCCTGCTGCTGCTGTTTCAGTCCRTTTTACTGATGGTGGCTTTGTGCTGGAATGCACCTGTCTCCTGTGAGGGATACGTCCCACCCATCCATTACAGCAACACTTTCCTAAAATAATCATGTAACTCAATTTTGCCAACAAAGGACTTGGATGATAATTTTAGGAAGGTGATGATAGTTTCTCCATGCTGGCGCTACCTGGCTGCTGAGAGCCACTGAGAGGAGCTAGCTTATCAAGATACCCACAGTTAACCGTCTTTGGGTGAGCTTGATTATGGTTTTTTTTYCCCCTTGTGACGTATTCCACCCATTTTATCACTTCTTTCCACATGCTTTTATTTTTCTTGCAGTCATTTTAGAAGAAATCCCAAATTTGACTGCAGCTTTCTTGCAACTTTTGTTGTCATCATGTTGCCGACATGCGCTGAGTAGCAGCAGATTGTAAACAAATGATGTTATGGACCACAAGGTGCCGTAAACTGCCCACAGCTAAAGTGAAACTGCTCGATGTAATAAATAAATAAATGTTTAATCTGTCTACATGGCTTAAAATAAATTGACCAAAACTAAAGTGAAGGATATTCTGTCAATAATTTCAGTTAGTTTTAGTTAGATTTTTGTAATTTTGTAATATTATACAGTTTCAGTTAGCTATTATTTTTTTCATTTTGTTTTAATTTTTATTTATTTCAGTTAACTAAAATGTTTTATTTTAGTTTTTGCTTTTTCGTTAGTTTTAGTTAACTGTAATTACCTAATTAATTACCTAATTTCTCTCGGGGATCAATAAAGTATTTTTGAATTGAATTGAACTCTGGTCCTGACCCGACGAAGTAGCTCGTCTGTGCTGGCTTATTCTTTTGAACAGTGGCTGTTTTGTTTCCCCAATGTATAAATGATCACAGTCCTCCTGACACTTAACAGCATGTACTATATTACTTTGTTTTTGTCAGGGAACTGGATCTTTGGGGTGAAATAATATTTGTCGTTACGTGTTTTGGGGTTTACCATACAGACCAGTATCTGTGTTTTGATTCCCATCACCCACTGGAACACAAGTTAGGAGTCATCAGAACTCTGTACCACAGAGCAGACAGTGTCCACACAAACACAGGAGCCAGGGAGAAAGAGAAGTCACACACCAGACCGGCCCTGGAGCAGTGCCGTTATCCTTACTGGAGTTTTCTGAAAGCAGAGAAGAAACCCAAACAGGATTCCAGTAAACAACCAGCTGAAAATGAAGACCCTAAACCCAGACCCAAACCAGTCGTCATTCCATATGTGGCGGGAGTTTCAGAGAAACTGAGACATTTATTCTCTAAACATGATGTCCCAGTGGCTTTCAAACCCCAAAACATGTTACGACGAAGACTAGTTCACCCCAAAGATCCAGTTCCCCGGCAAAAACAGAGCAATATAGTATATGCTGTTAAGTGTCAGGAGGACTGTGATCAGTCATACTTTGGGGAAACAAAACAGCCACTGTTCAAAAGAATGAGCCAGCACAGACAATCTACATCGTCGGGTCAGGACTCTGCAGTTTACACTCATCTACAGGCCAGCAGTCACTCTTTCAGGGATGAAGATGTTCTCATCCTTGATAGAGGAATGTTGGTTTGAGAGAGGAGTAAAGGAAGCCATCTTTGTGAAGAAAAACTGTCCACCATTAAACAGAGGTAGAGGCCTTCATGTCCAGTTGTCCTCCTCCTAAAACGCTGTTATTGCACGTATGACTCAGCCCCGTGAGCAAAAGGTGTGAATCAGGACCCCAACGTTAACCAACACAAAGAGGGMGAGAGGGACAAAAACAAGGGGGCATTGAACCCCACTTGCACTCTCTACATACACATAACAAAACACCAAATAACTACAGCTGAAACATCCAAACCAATAAGTCAGGTGGGGCACATGACTCCCTATGAACAATAGAGCCAATCAGGCCTATTAAGTGATGGCCCTCGTTTGCATGTGACTAACCTGTTTGACCACCATGTGGAGGCAGTGCTTATWAGGCTGAGTTCACCTGAAACTGATCAGACTGATGAAGTCTCTTGGAGGAGAGATGAAATGTTTAACTAAATATGAACCCATCCAGAGAACCTACTTTATTTTTTTCTTTTTGATGTTTCAGGAATGTTTTGGTCGTAACAAAAGAGACACAGGTCAACAACATCTCATGTTTTAACTATGAATTTAATTTTTCTTTGTCACTACATTGCTGTGATTCTCCAAAGCACTAAAATCTATAAATCTATTTTCTGACTGAAAGGAGGTTAGGTTTTGGGTTATGAAAAACACAAGACTCTTGTCTAAACTTGCCTCTTTGTATCAAACCTTTTACTTAGGAAAAAGTGTCTTACTCCGATCCCACCATCCCCTGAAATGTTTTGTCATGTCTGCACAGTTACAAGAAAATTCTAATAAGAAAATTAGCCAGTCATAATCAGACTAGTAATAAGACTAAGTCCCTAGAAGTAAAAATCAAGTTCTATCATCCTGCTCAGTCAAGTTKGTAAGTTTGTCCCTCTGAAAAAGCAAGCAACTTTCTGTGTCCTCTGTAAAATATTAAACATTTTGTCATACATTCAACGCCTTACTTTTTATTCAAATTTTTAATTTTGTCTGTTTTTGCTTCATTTCAGTTGGCGCGGCGCAGGAAAAAAGAGTGCTGTTTTTTTCACCTGTGTCTTGTTCGTTGCAGCTTTTATTTCCTTGTATTCAAGGTGTGTACCACAATGGAACTTTTTGACCTTGTTAATCTTTATTGGCACACTCACGTTAACATGAGTTACAGCCAACAAACAGCTGTTAAATATTATTCTTTGGTTTTTATACTGCCCCTTTTTTTCTGTCAGGTCTTTACATGAAGGAACTTTTGTGAAGAATCTACTCGTGGCCAGTGAAACAACGCCAAGATTGTTCACAAACTTGGATGAGACGCTTAACTATGGGTAAGAGATCATCAACCAGAAGCATTATCTTTGTCTGGGATCACAAGATTCCTCTCTGACTCAACCAGTCAGTCTGAAAATCCTTTTTATATAAACAGGCTCTGAAATCCTCTTCGTGAAAATCACAAACAGGATCAGTAACAACAGACAGCTCTTGCAGTCCAACCTGCTCAGCTAGCTCAACTTTGTGCCAAGGAAGTGACCACAACTCCTGATGTTTATGGGGATCTGAAAGCTCCTAAAAGTACCCCCTTCCCAACCCCCACGCACARTGTACATACAGATTTTATTTTATTTTTCTTAAAAGTACGCATACCATAGAAAACTAAAATTAAGATTCACTACAAAGCAAATGTAACAATATTTTTAAAGGAATAATTAACCTAGTTTATTTAAAACCAAGAGTCTGTAACTTTTTGACAAAGATTTAAAAAGAAGATATTTATTCACGTACACTCGTTTAAATCTGAAATTCTGATGGCAGTATACCATGTCCGTCATACCTGTTTTGAAACATCAAACAAACCACAAGCACACAATAAGGAAATTATACGGTCAGTGTAAGTAGAGAGAATAAACATGGTTACAATGATTAAAGCTACCATTGCATTAAAGTACATACAAAACACATAAAAAAAACACAGCAGTTGGAGTACACTTAAGGCATGCATAATTGGCATGTTCGTACAATTACTGAAGTCACACAACATAACCTAATGGGTACAACAAAACTATCTGAAATCCAGATTAAACAAAAAAAGTCCAAATTAAATATTTGCAATTTCAAATGAAAATCGTTCAGATTGTTGACAGATGTGGCGTTGCAATGTCCAAGTGAAACAAAACAAATACAAACAAAACAGTTTGACACTAGTTATAATAAGTAACCAACTAACTAGTTGTAGAGGAAAGGAAAGGTAGATGCATTTCCTACCCAAACACAGCACAGGGGCTTTCCAGTAAGTAGCTCTTAAACTATTATGTTTACCCTGAGTGTGGTGAAACTCTGTTGGATTGGTTTTCCTGAGGAAAGAAAAAACAAAACAAACAAACAAAAAAAAAACTGAGTTTCTAGACGTCTCCTTCCAGATAAAGCAAGTTGTCCAACAGGTTTGTTTTCAGTCAACATTGCCACAGAATTACTTAGCTGCAGACTTAAACGTCTGCAGCTAAGAGCGTGCCAACATTTTATCTGACTGATTAAAACGTCAGAACAATCATACACCAAAACTTAGAAAAAAAAATTCATATTTATTTGGGTTTTCATTTTTAATTCTCTAAAAGTGCAACTGCTACTCATAAAATTTGTAAAATAAATCAACAAATAACATCTTTGATTATTTTACAATCAGTACTCCGTTTTTTCCCCCTCTCCACAAGTCATTCTAAATTCTGAATCAAGATATCTGGGCTCCACTGATGATGGCTATTCATTGCTCTCGTGCACAAACTAGCTGCTCTGGAACCAAAAATTCACAGTTACCATGCTGTAATTCTGGGGATCAACAGGTACATTAAAACTAATCTAGAACAGTCAACAATGTAGTATTAAAGCACTGAAGGTCACAAAAAGTTAGGTACTCACCGCAAAGTCATGAAGTGGCGACGTGTTAATGTTTTCTTAGTTTAAAAATATGCAAGCAAAATTTGTGACTGAATGTCAAATACCACGTGTGTTTATTTATAAAAAATACCATTGTAATTTTATAACATGATGTATTATAACAAAGTAAAACTTAATGTACAAAGGAGAGGAGCGACAAACAAATTCTAAATGAACTAAAAGGGAAGTGTTAAACAAGCACAGCATGCAGTTGACCAGAAAATGTCATTTATTTGAAGAAGTTAAATGGAATAAGTTTTTTCAGAATGCAACATTTTTATTTAAACGCTCCCGTCCCTTGCCCCGCAAGATGCCTCCCTCAGCTTTACACCGTTTCGCCCGTAACTTTCGATTCTTCACTCACAAGGCAGAACAAACTGTCAGTCATCTTTGGCAGTGAAGCGTTTTTCCCTCAGTTCACGTCACTCAATTTATTTAAGTACTACCAGTTCAGATGCGTCAGGACATAGTTACACACGTTTTTATATGGTACCTTGTTTCAATAAATGTTTAATTGATATGACCCTGTTAAAGATCCATGAACAAGAACCACGAACAAAAACCAGGAACAAACCAACCTGGCAGTGTGACTAAATAATTAAGACCAGGGTGTATTGGTGTATAAAAACTAGTATTTTCCGTGATTATCTTGCTAAGACATAGTTGTTTGTTGTGCAGCTCTAGTTGCTTTTGTCTTAAAATCATCCAACAGTTCCATCCACCCATCGTCTATAACTACTCTTGTACCATTGTGGGTGCGGGTACTTATGGGTAGGATAGTTAAAAATAATAAAATAAAATCTTAATCTAGTAGTGAGGGATTTCATGTAGCTAAATCACTTTTTGCTTTTGAGTGAAGTGAAACAGCTGATGTGATTTTCATCTGAAAATTTAGAAGACAGAAATCTGGAACATTAAAAATGTTAGTAGACATGCTAGGCTTGCTATTTTGGTCCCTTTTTATTTTATTATTATTATTATTTGCATTGGCACAGTTTGCACACTTTCAAACTGCATAACAGCATTATTCTCTCATTTCTTCAGTAAATTTAAAACACTTTTTAACCTAACGGGTTTGACTAAACTACTCTTCAATGTACTGTAAATGAAGCAAAGTAACCTGCTGAATTTCCATCCACACTGAACAATACTCATGAAATCCTCTRCAGCTTTTTGAGTCTGAATTTCTGGAGAAAATCAGGTGGCTAATTTCTGATGTGTCAGCTGAAATAAATAGAAATTGTGAATCTGTGGCTGTCTCGTTTCAAACAGGAAGTGGAGAAAGAGAAAGTAAGAAAGAAAACGGCACTAAACAATGCTGGTGAATGCAAATGAAATGTTAGCCAAACTCTTGGCTTAGATTTGTGAAAGTGTTGCACAGTTAGGATGACTGTTACATTTACAGATGTACTCCCCTCATTTCTGTGTCTACCCAGAACAGAACCATTGATCTGTTGTATGCTAATGTCAGAGAAACATACAAAACACCCATCCCTCTCCCTACCACCTTCATCTTTTGGAGACCATGTTCTGCAGCTCTTGTACACAACACTTGTGATGAGTTGGCCCATATACTTGAGATCTCTCAGGAGATGGTCTCATGAAGTGAAAGATTCACCCGAGGAGACCACAGCTGAGAGTAGGGTTGCCAACTCATAAATAAATAAGGGACACCTCTCCGCAGGGCTGGTCACCCCATTTACCCCCCCC